GACCTTTTACGAGCATGTGAAGACTTCTCAAAGATGTATGGTGATCTCTCCCGAGCATATGGACTTCTATCCCTATTTTCATGGTACCTAGACCGGTCATGTGGGGACCAGTCAGATCGTGCAGGGCTGTGTCCATGTTTGTCTGAAAAAGCCTTGGCAGGGAAAGATGCGTCTTGATGCTTTCTATGATACTTTTCCAGAGATGAATTTTTCGATGAGTATGAATCTCTGTACAGTCTCTCAGCAGAATGCTGTGAATAGTGATCTGAGTGAAGAGAGCGGGAACAATCATCTGAAAGTTTTCTACATTTAGAACTCCCATAATCCCCATAATCAGCATAGGAGTGTTTGCGCTCAACGCTATCTGGCTCAGCTCCATGTCGCTTCAATCTGTTCACAGTAGAAGAGTACTCCTTAACAAAATTACTGGGATTGTTGTATTCATTCTTATGTAAATTTTCCTCTATAACAATTTTAGAACTGATCCTCGTGGTCCTGTCATGCCCACTTCTGAACTCCCTCTGGTGGTAGATATCCTCATTCGCAAACCTTCCACCGGGTGGGGTACGTTCATATTCATATTCATATTTCCACGTTTTCTCTCTGTCAACTCCATTCCTACGAGATCTGATATAACTATGATCATCTTTTACTGCATCCATTTTTTGCCATCTGTCTGGGATGAATTCCCCCTTTTCAATTTCATCACCAGAATCTCTCCATGACCTGAATTCTCTGTCTTCTTTACCTCCTTTCCAGTTCTTATCTGCGGAAAAATCCCTTCTCTCCACATTCCCTTTATGATACTTGAGATAACTGAACTCACCCTTGGTAGGTTCATCTTTCTTCCAACTCTCCCCAACAATCTCGCCCTTTTCGATCTCACTCTTCTGCAATGACTTTACTGGCGAGATTTCACCGTTCTCCAAATCCCCAGGAGGTTTTAACGTACCTAATTCACCCTCTTCCACTTCATCCTTAAACCCAGAATCTCCACCGTTTTCGACTTCTTTATCCCCACTAGTTCCTCCTTTAACTTCACTCTTCTTATTCTGCTCCTCCTGCTCTTTCAACTGCAACTGTGATTCTGCAGGGAGTTGCACTACCTGGGATGGTGGCTGATCTTTCAGCTGCTCCTCCGCTTGTTTCTGCGGCTGCTTAGGTCTCCTCTTAACAACTTTACGAATTACCTTAACAATCCTCTTCTTCTTAACTGGCTGAGACGCTGAAGGTTTATTATCAGCTGGCTGAGACTCCGGAACCTTACTTGAGATAGATGTGTGACCATTGTCCGTAGTACCAACACTCTTGCTTTCATTGCCTCCACAAAGAGTCGTCTTCTCCACAATTGGAAGCTTTTCCATGATATTCAGTAGAGGCATGCATGCGACACCCCCATCGCTCATGGAAACCCAATCCAATTTTCTCTTTTACCCAAACTTCCCTAATTCTCCCCTTTCCCAGGGAAATCAATACTCATACTTTTTTTGCTTCAGAATCCCCACCGCCGCCGCTTTGGTCACACGCCGGACTAAATACAACAACCTGAAACACCGAAAAACACAAAACTAAATGTAGGGTTTTCTTCACACAACGAAGGAGAAAATCTGAAAACCCTACAAGACCCAAATTGATGAAATTAAAAGAGACGAAGAGACGCGAAAACAAACGAATTGAAGAAGAAATTATACCGAGGAAGATAACGAAAACCTAAAGAAACGGATCAAAGAAACCCTAGAATGGAGCTAATAGAGATATGAATGAACGTGAGAAGAAGGGAAATTTCTCGAGAACGAAGAGGAATAGATCGAGGTCAAAAGAAGACAAATCGAGAAGAAGAAAAAAACCCTAGAAAGCTCTCTCTCACTAAATCTCTCTCTATCTCAATCTTATTCCGTTTCGCCGGGAAATATCTGTGTCGCCGTGTGTATTCTTTCTCTCTGCGACCTTCGCTTCTCGCTTCTGTATCGTTTGTGTTCTCTCTCTCTTTCTCCGTTAATGTTTTTTTTCCTCAAAGAAGAAGCCGTCGTGTTAATATTTTTTTTTCTTGTAGATTTTATTTTGCTTACTGGAAATTATTTTCTCATACTTTTTTTCTGATTTTCTGACCTTATTAATTTAATTGAGATTATGATACCTCTAATAAATAGGAAAAGAATTGTATTACATGACAAAAGGTGGAAACTATTTAAATTCCTACCTTTATAATGTAGATTTATACTTGTTTTATAATTTATAAATTTGTATACTTTGATAATGTTTTGAAATTATTAAATTTAAGGTTATCTGGTAAAGTTACAATTTAAAGAAAAAATTAATTTGCAGACTAGAAAATTTAGAAAAAAGTGAGGAGTTAACAATTTTGTGGGCAAAAGATTGAATTGCTCTTTCATGGTGGATATTTTATCGATTTATAATAATTTACATTTAGAGTGATGAATATAAGTTTGTAAACTAATACAAGACCACAACTATAAGGATAAAAATCTTATTGAAAAATTACTACTCTAAATAAAATTTAAAAATACTTGTTCACAAAAGAAGAAAAAAAACTTAAGAAATTTCTTGTTATTGTAATTTAAAAGATATATAGTATGTAAATAATCAATAAAATAAATTGTAGTGAACAAATTATCGATGGACCTAAAAAAAGATCTACGGGAAAATGAAAAAACTTTCGATTATTTGAAAATGGGAGAGAATCTCAATGAAAGAAATGTCTTTTTTTTTTTTATAGAAAATATATGTACCGGACTTGTATACTAGGTAGATTGTAAGATTCCATTCGATTGATTGAATCCTAGCACTTAAGTATCATCTCTTACTTTATTATCATTTGTGACACTTAAGTGATAGTCGATGGTCAATAGTAAAAAAAAGGTCCTAAAATAAGGCCAGTTCTACTTCTAGCCATTGGTACCACCAAACTACCAATGAAATTTCATTTGGCGCTCAAGATATACGCTTCGAGCGGTAACATTTTCACTGTTCCGTTAATAAACAGACAATCTTAGAGCATCATTATCGGCAAACTCTTAGCCAAATCTTAGGCAAAATAATGATTAAATTTAATGTTTTAACTCCATTTATACTAAGGAACGTTCCTTAGTTAAGGAACAAAATTTACCTTAAGAGACGTCCACGTGGCGTAATTTGTATGGTTATTTTTCTTTCTGTTTCTCTCTCTCTCTCATTTTGCGAAAACGGAGAAATCGCGATGATTTCTGGAAATCGACTCACATCGACAATTTTTGTTTCCTTCTTTGTTTCATCGTCTCTCTTTTTTTTTTCGATCTTCAACGCATCCAAGAAATCGATTTTCAATCGCCCAAATCGGAGAGTTCACCAAATCAGAGAGTTTGGTTCAAGGATGCTCCAATCTATTTCCCATGATATGAATCTCTCTGTTTTTCATTTGTATATCGTGTTGAATTCGATCTGTTTTCATTTTTTCAGTTCCTTTTAGCCGAGATTGATGAGTGGAATTGAAACCGTCAAATTTCGAAATTGGATTTTGTTTGATCTTGTCAATTGGAATTAATTGAGTCTGGTGGTTAACGATAGATTTGGGTGATGGCTTGTGTTTGAACGATATCCTTTTCTTGCCAATAGAAATCTCAATCTGTGTTGATTTGAATGTGTTTGAATTGTGTCATATTATGCTTTGTGTTATTCCCGATTGATCTAAGTTAGAGTTTTGAGTGTTAGAAAAAGAATCATCATCGTCAATTGATAGTTTAGTGAATGTTAGTGTTTTGAGTTTGAAGCTATTCTATGTTTGATTTAGGGAAAACAGAGAATCTCTGAAGGGAAGAAAGAGAGCAAGGTTTTGGAAGATGAGATAAGCTATTTGGTTGAGAAACTGAATGAGTTAAAGTCTCCAAAGGTTAAGGACATGGAAGCTAGAAACTTCAGACATAATATTGATAACCAATCCCAGAAGCATTGCCAACAAGCCATTGGATTCTCATCAACAAACCCTAACATCCGCTGCGATACGCTGTCCCAGCAGCTGTTCTATCCCAGAAGCCACTTTTCAAGACATTGGCGTCGGAGTGTCTTAAAAAAGAAGTGATGTTTAATGGCCAGACATCCGCTGCGATACGCTGTCCCAGCAGCTTACGCTTCTAGAATTGGTCAGTCTTGTTCTGCGGATTCTGATGTATAGAAGGATATGTGTTAAACCTGTAAAATCTGATGTTGCTTTGACTCTTTTTTATTATGAATTTTGATTGAGGATCTTGTGTTTAAGGTTATTGAGAAAAATGAAAGAAAGAAGCTTGCTATCTTCACAGCACTTGCCTTTTCCCAGAAGCTCTCAGGATTATCCAGCCATTGCTCAAAGATAAACTTGTTACCAAAGGGATAGTACTCTCATTCGTAACAGACTTCTTCAAAGAGTATCTCCACAAAACCAAAACCATATCTTTTTTTCTCCACAAAATCAAAACACAAAAACCAAACATACATAAATTTGATCAAAACACATAATAACCAAAACACTTAACCAAAACACATAATATTTGAAACCAAAAACACGATAATTATGAACCAAAACACTTCAAAACACTTAAAAATTTTACTAACCAAAACATTTCAAATTTCAAATTTTGTGTCTCATGTATATTTTAATTTTTTTAATTTGCAACAATTATTAAATTTTCTATAATTATAAATTTTATTTTTATATTAATATTTATTTTTCTAAGAACCACATGTTAAGAGCCTACCATTAATCACACAAAAATCTTAACTCAAAAATACTATCTCTTAACAATCACTTTTACAAATAAATTACTTAAATATTGCTAAGATTAATTTCTAAGAGACCACCTATAATCATGCTCTTAGACCGTTAAATCAACGTGGTGAAGCTTAAAGAGATTCTGATTCTTCTTTAATTTGAGCCATTAAAACCCGACGACACAAGTAACAACCCGTTACTTCAATCAATGAATGTTATGGGCTTTTTAATGGGCCCGTTGGTGATTGCTCATTCATTTATTGAATAAACCTCTAAAGTCTAACTTTACTCTAAAATGATAAATGCATATCAACCGAATGTATCATGATTCATGACATAATCAGAGTGGTAAATTGGTTCTGAATTCTGATACGATATCTTTAAATCCAAAGGGAAAGAAAGCAAATGGAGAACTACAACACAGAATGTTGGGTACCGTAACCAAGCAGGGCGGGTAAAACCGTGACCAGTTTCAAGCCTAGGAAGTTTCTGCAGCTGGTTGCGTCACGGTCACACCATGCTTAACCAAGAGCTTAGTGAGCGAGTCAGGCGAGTGAACATGGTACTTAACACTTCCTGATGGAGTCAGATACACCTCAGCAAGCTCGAGTTTCTCAGCTGTCAAGCTCGTGCTGTCCATCGTCTTGCTCAAAACCTTGATAGCGAGCTGAACCACCTCTTCTCTTGTTGCATCATCCTTATAGTCTTGTTTAAGAATAGACTGAGCCGCTTGATTATTTGCTCCAACAGCTGCAGCTTTCCATCCACCATAGTTTCCGCTTGGGTCACTCATATACAGCTGAAACCCGTGGTTCTTGTCCCAGCCTGCAAAAAGAAAGGAAACTCCAAACGGACGGAGACCCCCAAATTGTGTGTATCCTTGCTTGGTGTCACAGAGAGACTGAACCAGCTGCTCAACGGGCATTGGCTCTTGGTACATAAAAGTGTAACGCTGAGCTTGAACTCGAGCAGTGTTAATCAGAATGTTGGCATCAGACATTATACCAGCCACAGCACAAGCCACATGGTCATCGATCTTGTACATTTTCTCCGTGGACATAGAGGTTTGAAGAAGTTTAGAAGTGACTTTCTTCTCACCAACCAACACAACTCCATCTTTTGCCAAGATTCCAATCGCAGAACCAGCATTGCCAATAGCTTCCATAGCATATTCAACTTGGTAAAGACGACCTTCCGGTGAGAAGATCGTGGTGCGACTATCATACCTCCGAGACATTGTGAAACAGCTACACACCGAGAGAGAAAGAAATAAAACACCCAAATTATATCAGCGAAAGTTCCCATCTTTAAGATAATGGGTAGCTCCCAAAGAAAACTGAAGACCATTAAAACAGACTTAAGAGAAAACCTCCCTCCCTCTTCTTACAAGTGTCACCAGATTAAGCCTAAACCACTGAATCTATGAACACTGATTAAATGAGAATCCATTACACTTGAGTGATTCCAAGTTAGAACAAAACAGAATTACATTGTACCAAAGAATCACATCAAGCTAGGGTTTATCTACGCGACAAAATCAAAGAATTACCCAGAATTTAGAGCAGTAAGTCCTGACTAAAGACAAACAGATCCCACAAGTACGAAAACCATATTTCGAGAACAAAAACTAGTAGGAAGAAAACGGAATCGATTGAGGAAAAATTACCTGAAGAAATTTCTTCTCTGAGTTCTCTTCTGAGTTTTCGATTCCTTGATTTCGCTGAGAACTTGGTGCTTGATAAAAAAAAAAAAAAAAACCAAAATTCTGAACTTCTTTGACAAGAAAAGTAAAAGGAAAAGAGAAAAAAAAAAAAAAAAAAAAATCATTTTGCTGGTTTTCTGGATTGAGCCTCACAGTTCACAAGTATGGGCCTAAAACATTAGAAATCAAGCCTAATAAGTGAAGCCCAAAGACTCGTTTAAAATAAGCATATTACCCATTAGGATAAACCATTTTTTTTTTTTGTCATAGTCCATTAGATTTTTATAGCATTGTTATAATTATATGCTAAGTACATGACCCACCACCCATTGAACTTTTTGTGATTGGTTATGCTTTTTATAATTTGTTAAACTATATGTTTTGATTTTAGATGGATATGAACTACATTAATTTCATAGCCGTTTAGCTTACTTTATAAAAAATTTTGATTTAAATTTATAGCCAGAAATCATTCTTATGAAACTTTTGTTTAATTTTATATGATCAAAAAATTTTTTGTTTATATGGTCATTTAAATTAAGTAAAATAAGTGTATTAATTTAAATATCACTCTATGATTAGTAGTCCAATCTCGAGGGAAAGAGTTTGTGTGTCTTATGTTTTTATAATGTTATTTACTACTCTATGGACTATGGTCAGGCCCAGCCCTGGACAGATTTTAACAAAATATTTGTATTGGGCCTCAAATTTCCGAGGCCCATTTTGTGAGATTTTTTTTTTTTTTAAGGTCTCACAATTAGTAAAATAGGTCTCAAAATTAGTAAAATAGACCTCAAAATTAACAACAAAAAAACCCCATAATTAGTAAGAAGGCCTCATAATTAGTGAAAATCTTATAATTAGCAAACAATGTCCAAAAATTAAGAAAAAATGTTAAATAAAAATTATAAATGGCCTATAATTAGCAAAAAAAAATTATTTTTAACAGTTTTTACTTATTAAAAAGGCCTCAAAAAAATTTTTCGTATTCGGCCTCCGATTTTACCGGACCGGCCCTGACTATGGTAAGATACAAAGTAATTGTATCCAAAATATCTATATCAGTAAGCATCAAGATCATGTTAAAACTGAAAAAACTATTGAACCAAAAAATGATGTACCATTTTTCTGATTTTCCTTTTTTTTTTGTTAACTCAATTTCGAAAAATCGTGAAATGACATGCTAAACATGCAATCATGGGTACATGACTGATATAGAGTTATTAATTTAGAACCCAAAAAATTCGGGAAACTAAAAATGACAATTGAAGTTAACCAGACGGATTAAATGGGGCGGGATTAACTCCTTGCACACTTCTATTAAAAGTGAGACATTATGGATGGACTCGTCGTCCAAGGAAGTCTTTGTCTAGAGACTGAAAAACGCTGATATCTATCAGTTGAAGTTTTTTATTGATTAATGTTTTAAATGTTTATTGCAGACTGTTATTTCATACTATATTCTGATGTTCACTTTTTACGGTATGATAGAAAATTAACAGAATGTTTGTTTATTTATTTTGCCGTTGACAAAACTAAGTACATACTATATGTTTTTTCGTTTACAGATTTTACAAGCATTGTTTTTAATGGATATCATAAAAGTATGTACTACGTATAATCGGTGATGTTGATCATGACAAAAATAAACTCTTTGTTATCGTACGCATAGAGCACTTGCAATGGCAGCTCTTGCAAGCGTCCCAGGCCATTGTTTTTTAAAAAATAAATCAAAACCCCTTATTAACTATAGAACCGTTCCCACAAACGGAAACGTTTCTTCACCGTCCCGCACTGCCACGTGGCGTTTGCTGATTGGGTGGTGTTTTTTTGTGGGGAGAAATTTTTTTGGGGTAGAAACATTTTCGATTCGTCTTCTCTCTCTCTCGACTCTCTCGACTCGCGAAGGCGATTTCTCCGGCGAAAATTATCGTCAACGATTTTCCGGCGATATCACACCGCAATCCTCCTCGTCTCTGCCATAGAAAGCTTCTCCAATCGATCTTTTCTTCCATAGAAAGCTTCTCCGCCGGTTCCAAACGAGCGATACAAGGTATGTTTGTTTTTCCGATATGAGATCTGGGGGAATTTGTGTGATTATCCATGGTTTTTGTTGGTATAGAGGATGTATATGAATTTGTATGGTCAATGGTTGTGTTTTTTATTGTAAGGTTGGCCAAAGAAAATCGATTAGGGTTTAGTTTTGGATATTCGATTTTCGGATCTGTGTGTTGTCTCCAAGTTTCTGATTTAGGTTTTATGGATTTGGGATTGTCTCCAAGTTTCGATTTAGTGATATGAAACTGTTTGAGTGTTTTCTTGGCTTTGATTATGCTTTGGATTCGTTTTGGTTTGTCACCAAGTTTTCAATTTAGACAATCTTCTTTAAAGTTCTAGCTGAAGTATGTTTTTAATCTGTTTGTCTGTCTTTGGTTGTAACTTGTACATGATATGATTATTTTGGTGTTGGTGCTTGTTTGTGTTTGGTTTAGTATTATCTAGTTACAGAAACTGATCTAGTTAATAGGATTGTGTGACTCACCATTAAATGCTTTGTTTGTTGTTGATCTGGTGTGATGTATAATTGATAAGTTCTAAAACTCTGCTAAACCATTACTCTTGTAATCGGATTGTTATAACACTGTTCTAAAACTCTACTTGAATGCTTTGTACTTATGTAAGGTGTCTTAAATTGTGATTAGACTTAGGTAGTTCAAAGATAGGTCATTATGAATGGTAATTTATTACTTGATACCTTTTCATCTTTTAAACACCAACTAGCCTTCACTCTTTCTCCATCATCTTCTATCTCTCTTCTTTGGTAAACCAATAACCTTTCTTTGGAGAACACCAAACCAGTCAGGAAGGATAGGAAGAAATGGAGCTCTCAACAATCCCAGGATGCACCGCTTCAGAAATACCAACTTGGAGCTCTCAACAATCCCAGGATGCACCGCTTTCTCAAGAGACACCTGTCAGGAAGGATAGGAAGAAATGGAATCCGGCTGACGATGAAGTTCTTATCAGTGCGTGGCTGAACACTTCAAAGGACCCGATTATTGGAAACCAACAAACGGTAGAAATCTTTTGGCAAAGGGTCGGAGAATACTATGCAGAGTCTCCTCATGCTATAGCCAATGGTGAACATGGGCTGAACATAAACTGTAAGCAAAGGTGGTTCAAGATCAATGACTTCACTAATAAGTTCTGCGGGGCATATGCAAATGCAGAGAGACTAAACAGTAGTGGACATTCTGAGACCGATGTGCTGAATATGGCTCATGACATCTACGTCTCTGACCACAAGACCAAGTTTACAATGAACCATTGCTGGTGTTTGTTAAGGTTTGAACAGAAATTCCTGGACCTTAACAAGATTAACAATCTTACACCTAAAGGCAGAACAAAGAGGAGACCAGTTGAGGAAGCTTCACAATCCGAGGAGAAGCTACAGAAGCTTGGCATACTAGACACACTTCTTGCCAAGCCAGAGCCACTTAGTGCAGTTGATCAAGTTATCAAGGATAAGATAGTGGCTCAGTATTTCTTAGATTGATGTATTCACTTAAGATGCAACTTTGTATTTCTTATTTTAGTATCTAAGTTTGAATTCCTGCTTTAATTTGTTATGTATTTATCTATGTCTGTTCTTGTTTCATCAACTCGGCTTTTTCAAGTTTTTGTAACTTTGTAATTTTCTTATGTTTTCAACTAGGATATGACCCGCGGTACACCGCGGGTTAATTATTTGATTTTTTTATTTTTATAAATTGATGAATTTATTGTGTATAATATTTTTTGTTGTATACCGCGGGTCACATGCGTTGTATCTAAAATAAAAAATTTTAAGTTGTATTTGTTTTGTTTAGTGTTTAAGATTGTATACTTGTATTTTGATTTGTTATTTATAGGATTTCACCTGTGGTATATTGTCTCGTATTAATATTGACCCAAACCCGTCCAACCATATAATCTAAAATGAAATTAAACATCATTTTGTTATTTTTTTAATAACACTTTTATTTAAATGTCATATAATTCGAGTTAATTTGAAAGTTGCTTTCAAATAGTTTCCATGTATATTTTTAAATTAGTGTGTATTTTTTGGACCAACCCGTAAAAACAATTTATAATTGTATCTTAAAATACTAATTAGGATTTCACCCGTGATATACTGTCCCATTTTAGATAATTGTAAAAATTAAAGAAAGATCCGAATGACTCAATTTCGGGTCTGAATAAAATAACGACATGATTAAATGCTCAATGTGTTCTTAAAAATGTTAATATAGATTACACACATATTTTTATTCATCGATTGAGTAATATATGTCCGTTTTAAAAAATTTGAATTGTAACATATGCAGAAAAAAAAAAACTAAAATTTACTAACTATTTATATATTTTATAATAATTTAAAATAATATAAATATAAGATCAAATAAAAATGAAATAAGAATCATATATTTATGTTTAAATTAGGTAGAGAGGTTTTAGGAAATTAGTGCAAATTTGTTATATTAGCATTAAATCATCATATTTGATTTCTTTATCTATAAAAATCGTGGAGAATATACCATAAATAAAGCGTTTAAATATAGTAATTAGTTGAGAAAGTATATATATTTTAGATTTTATTAATTATTTTCGTTTTTTAATTTTGCCAAAATTTAAGGAAAGATCCGATTGAAGATTTTCGGGTCAAAATTAAACAAATTTGACCCGATTTGGGTACCCCAAAAACTGCTGCAAAAATGTATAGTAGATGTTAATGTTATATGTTTTATTTTAATTACAACTTTAATATGTTTTTACTTATTAATTTAAATGATTAATATTTTAAATTTAAAATATTATTATTTTATTCAAGGGACAAAATGTGAAGGACACCATTGCTAATACCAAATTTAAGAAACTTTGAAAATAATCTTATTATATTTGAGGGACCAAAATTTATCCCACACCATTGCTCATGGTCTTATACTCTTAAAACTAGGGAGGAGGATAATCTTTTGTTCTTTTTTTTTTTTGTTGCATAATGTTTTGTTGTTTTCTAGATCTAGTTTCTATATTAAAACATTGTTTAAACTAACGTATCTATGGACTATGGTGCTCAAAGAAAAGAAAAAACTAACGTATCTATCTTTAATTAATACATATACTGTAACACACAAAAAACACAAATATATAATCGACTGACTTAGTATAGGTCAAGGATGACACACCACATGTACACGTTGAGTAATGACCACTGCGTAGTGTTTGTCATTTAAAAATAAAATTTCAAATAACAATAATTCAACGTACATAATCACCTTATAACAGTTACATAAAATTTTGCTTGATATTTTAAGAATAATAACGAAATTTAGATCCTTTTAGTGATTGTTTCCGCCATCACAAAACATAAAGAAGAATCTAGATCTTAACGTTTCAAACCCCTTTTTTATTGTATCAAATGCAATAGAAAAGAGATCAACCCAAGAGAGGAGTCTTTTTTAGCGTAGCAGGACACTTGAAGCCACGAGGTGGAGTCTTACCACAGTCGACAAGGAGCTCAAGAGCAATTGGAATTATGAGGTCAATGTTGAGAAGCTTCGCTCTTATAGTGGTGCAGAGACAAACCGCAGCGTCAACACTCGCTAAACCCTCAAGAAGTGGGCAACACTTTGCCTTAGCGTAGCTTTTCCCTAGTCCGATGTGAATCAAACCGCCTAGCACGTCCACACACGCGCCTAGTTTCAGAGCGTCGATGGGACAAGTCTCTGGTTTAGGCGGAGGAGGATATGGGGTTGGTGGAGGTGGCGGGCATGGCGCCTCTGGGGTTGGTGTTGGCGGTGGCGGGGTAACGACTGGTGGTGGTGGTGGTGGCTTCACGGTGGGTGGTGGTGGAGTATACGGCGTGGGTGGTGGTGGTGGCTTCAAGGTGGGAGGTGGTGGTGGCTTCACGGTGGGTGGTGGTGGTGGCTTCACGGTGGGAGGTTTTGGAGTATACGGGGGAGGAGGGCATGGAATGTATGGAGGTGGAGGCTTCACGGTGGGAGGTTTTGGGGTGTGAGTAGGTGGTTTAACGGTGGGGGGCTTAGGTGGTTTAGCGGGATGTTTTGGCGGTTTAACAGGGTGTGGAGATGGTTTAGGAGGGTCACTACAATCGCAAGCATAAGAGACGGCGAGGAAACCGAGGAGGAGTAGTATCACAAAGGAGAGGTTTTGCTTGTGAAGAAGGCCCATGTTGAGAAAGAGGGTTTAGGGTTTGATTTGTGACAAGGAAGTGATGAAGTACGTTAAACAGTTCAGTGTCTTCCTCTTTTTATAGACCAAAGTAATCTCTAAGATATTTATTTTTGTATTTATAATAATGTTTTCATTTGCATCATCCGTGATGATATGAACGTGCCAAATTGCGAGTAAGATTATTGAAGTTGGACTATAATATGAAGTACATTAGTTTACAGGTCACTTTGTCATAAGAAGTAAAAAGGTTTTATTTTGTCAAGAGAAAACAAAAAGTAAAAGGTTTTCGTCAAACTTTTTTTTTGTGGTAAATTTCAAATTGTTCTAGATAAAGATAATATCGGTATATACTTAGTCTAACACATGAAGTAAAGTTACGACACAAAAAAAAAAGGATTGCGAGACTGCGACAAGCTATGCAAATTTTTTTTTTTTTTTTTTAATGTAAGGCCTAGTGGCAAGACAATTAATGAAGGAATTTGTCATTATTATTTGACTGAAGAGATTACCTCTCGATTTTCTGGAAACAGCAATGGCAAGTGGCGAGACAACTAACTAAGGAATTTGTCATTATCATTTGACTGAATTAGACATCTCAATTTTCAGAAAACCACAAAGACATGTAGAGATCCTTCCGCTTTTCTTGCTCCTTTGATTATTGGGTCCACTTGTTCTTAAGGATTTTAGGCAAAATATTTGGAATATATAGTTCTTTTGTCTCGACCTATTGATATTGTAGCCTAGATATTGTCCAGAACAAACACACAAATAGAGAAAAGAGAATCGATGCTATGGAGTAGCTAGGTCCAAACCTATAGTATGTTTTATGTATAACAATGTAAAAATAATGATACTGGTCAGTGTTTCCCATGATTAATTACTAGATTAATTATTTAATTAGATTACGATGTATCCTAGCTAGCAGCAACGAATTAGTTAAAAGTACATGTATAAACAATACTACTTGACTTCACAAAACTTATTCATATACAACTGAAGTAAACGCTGACCAGTGACCACTATCATTATTAATACGTTTTGTGAAGTTTTGAGATATATGATATATCCTACAGTAGCTTTTATTAACCACCAGGTTAAGTTTTTTACAAGCCACTAATTTCAAAAATCAAAAATAAATCATTATAATTGTCGATTAGTTAGTGTTCTAAAAAGGGGTCTAGGCGGTCGCCTAGACCCCGACTAGGCGCTAAGCTTTCATGCGACGCCTAGATGACCCGTTAATTAACCGCTAAAATTACATAAAACTTGTTTAATGTATTTTTTCAATTTCTAATTAAATTATATATATATATATATATAGTTATAAATATTCATATATTGTTTCATAGGTTTCTTCCTCGCACCTTTTAATATCTCAACTTTCCACGAGAACTGATTGAGCAAGTTCGTGATTGATGATTATCTATGATTTTTATTATATTATTTGTGTCTATGGCATAGATTTGATCTTTTATATCATAGTCTGAGTCGTCCTTAACAGAAACTCAAAAAAGTATTTGACAACTTAAAATGAAAAAAGAAACTCAAATATATATATATAAGAACAAATATAGTTAATAAGTATATACAAGATAAGGATAAATTAGTTCTCTCAAACCTATTAAGAAAAATGTAGAATTAAAAAATACTAATAACGTGCAATACTAGATATACTAATTATTTTCTCGTTTATTTTTATTTGATGTTTAAGGTTTTTGTATACTGATTAAAAATATTTATTTGTTTTTATTTCTAAACTAAATAAAATATTATTTATTATCTAATCAACCAACAAAAAATAATCTGCAGAATATAAATTTCAAAACTAATAATTAATATTATAATAAAAATTGAAAATATTATTTAATTTAGAATAAATTATTTTTTTAGATATCAATTAAAAACGGAGGAAATAGTATTTAAAGAAATGAACATATGGATGTGTACAAGATTGCGGGTGAGATTTGTCGTGTAGTCAAAATAGGGTAAACCGTGAATCTGCTCCTCTAAATTAAGAATTTGTTTGTTATTGTTATTTTTTGAAAAGAGAATAAGAAAAATGTCACGTAAGTACGGAACTCGTAAGAATGAATTGTACATGCGATGTTAAGAGTATATATAAAAAATGAAACAGATCACATGCATGGATCTCTGCATGTGACCACACAATTATCTTTTTGTGCTGAAACCTCGGGCCAGAGTATAAGTTTTCTTTATCACAACAAAAAATCCCCAAATTGTCGGGATTATCTTCATTTCTATATCAATGTCAACTCTCCAATACTCTTCAAGACAGAACATGCATATCGTGAGTACTGTTCTTTTTGTTTGAAGTAGAATTTAAACTAGAGTAAATTTGTGCAGAGACATTATTTGGGGTAATAATTAGGAAACCAACATTAGTGAGGAGCGTCATAGACAACGTTGAAAAATAGTTGCAATAGGGCTTGTAGTTGACAATATTTACAAGAATGCCAGCTTTTGCTTACGTCGTGCGAGTAGGAGGGGGGGGTGAATCTGACTTTACAAATAAACGAAATAACATTCTGACACAATGTTCAACAGTTGAATTGACTTTCACGCGGCAACAGATAGAACGAAGTGACAGTTAGTAAATTTTAATGTACATATAGACGAAAATTAGAAAATTTAAACAACTAACCTAATTGCGTAGATTTCTATCAATAAATGTAGCACTTATAATTCGATATATGACTCTATGAAAATATATGAACATGTATCTAAATTTATAGATAAATATTAATTCATTAACTAATTGAGAATTTTAGATAAAATTCGATTTTTTTTCCCAGAACAAAAAACATGTTTCGATTGATTTCATGCATAGCATATGCTCCATCGTCTTCTTCCTTTTCACTCCAAAATTTCTTGTTTTGTTTGTGCTCTTAGTCACCGTTGTTGGTTTTAAATCTGTTGTTTCTCCATCGTTTGCAAAAAAACTCTAGCTATCTATATTAGTCGTTTCTTTTTCCTAGATCCACTTACGTCTTTACCTCTTTTCTTAGATCTGGTTTGGATATTCACAAATCTGCATAGATCTATACTTTCGTGTTTGCATGTTCATAAGTTTTCTTGCGGATCCATTAACTATTCATCCTCCTCGCAATCCACATCCAGCAAGACCAACCTTGTTCTGTCTCCACCTGTTCATGTTTTTAGCAATTCAAGTTAATACATGGATATTCACAATTGGATAAGACTCATTATTTGCAAACGTAGAGCTCTATGTTACATTGGCTATGTTACCTTCGAGGTATGTGTCATCAACCACCAGCGCTGCGTCCCTAGCAAAAGTTTGCACTGGTATTTCAAGCAAACGCAACATCTCCGATAAAGGTGTCACCACCGTGTGGTTGATGTTGGAGTTTGAATAATAAACACGACGCTGTTTTTCTTATCGGTTTGAATGAATTAGAACAGAGTTGAGACAGATATGAACATAAGATCTGCATCTATACTTTGTAGATCTATTTGTGAAGATCCATAAAATGTTTTAGATTCTTATTTGTATCGTGAAAGTTATCTTTTCCGATGAATAAAGAATGGCGGTGTGAATAATAAACATGGATATTCAAGTTAATACATGAATATTCACCAACAGAAGATGAAAAATCTTGCAGAAAATGAGAAACAGCACCAACGTCGAGAAAAGAAACGACACCGGAGAAAAAAGACGGGGACTGAAACGAAAGAGAAAACTGATGGACTTAGGGTTATGACTTATAAGAGCGAAAAGTCGGGATGTAGCAGAAGAGAGAGGTTGGACACGTAAGAGTCAGAATAAAAAGACACACATTAAATCCTCGAAAGTGGTCTTAACCAAGACAATTGTCATGCGTAGTTAGACCGATATTTGGTAAAAGGGAGAGAGACGCGAGAGTTTATAATCGGGAAAAGGAGTGACTAAATATTATTGTTGTCTTGGGCCAAATGGTCTAACACCAAAAATGTTATTATGTCAAAAGGTAAGATCTTCCACCCAATAATAATAAAAAGATTAAAATATCATTAATCCGCCGCTTCAATACGGATTAAATCCTTAATTTTTTTTAATACCACCAATATTAGACATATTAAATAAAGGGAGACTCACAAAAATGCCCCTTTTTCAATACCCCTTTTCAAAAATGCCCCATTTGGTTGTCCATTTTTAAAAATACCCCTTTTTATGTACAAAATGACTAAATTACCCTTTTTTAATAAAAGATATCACAAATATATAAGGAAATATAACAAAATTAGGTCCACAAAATACAAAATATTTTTTGGCGGGAAAAGTGATCCCGCAATTTTTCCGCCAATACACTTGTAAAAACTTGTAAAACATTTAAAATACCTTGTAAAATTTTCCCGTAAAATTTTTTCCTGCCAAAAAATTTTTTTTGCGGGAAAAGTGATTCCGCAATTTTTTTGGCGGGAAACTTTTTGGCGGGAAAAATTTAGAAGGTATTTTAAAGGTTTTTTACAGGGTATTTATAAGGTTTTACAATGTATTTTAAAAGGTTTTACAACGTATTTATAAAGTATTTATAAGATATTATAAGATTTTACAAGCTATTTTATAAGGTTTTACAAGTTATAAGGTTTTACAAGTTTTTTATAAGGTTTTACAAGTTATAAATTCCTTATAAAACTTTATAAGTACCTTGTAAAACCTTTTAAAATACATTGTAAAACCTTACAAAACACTTGTAAATACTCCGTAAAACCTTTAAAATACCTTGAAATTTTTCCCGCCAAAAAAATTTCGCCAAAAAAATTGCGGAATCACTTTTCCCACAAAAAAATTTTTTTGGCGGGAAAAATTTTTACGGGAAAATTTTACAAGGTATTTTAAAGGTTTTTACAAGTGTTTTGGCGGGAAAATTGCGGGATCACTTTTTCCGCCAAAAAATAATTTGTATTTTGTGGACCTAATTTTGTTTCAAATAAGGGTAAAATGGTCATTAAAAATTAAAAGAGGGCAAACTTAAAAATGGACTCTCAAAGGGGGTATTTTTGGAAAGGGGTATTGAAAAAGGGGCATTTTTAACAATTTCTC